AATATGTTTTAATTTAAAAAAAACAATCAACTTTATCTCTCAATTTCATTGATAAATCGAGAAATATGATACACTAATTTTAAAAATAATAAAAATACTGAAGGTTGAAACTCATGTTTAAATAATTTTCATGAATGCTATTATTGTTAGGAAAGTTATTTATGGTGCTTATGGTTGCTTGAAAATGTTCGGCAATACTTTCTAAGAAAGAAGTGCTTAATATTATGTAAGTATTGAAATAGTTTCTTTTATGTTTTTTTAATTATTTTAATATGGTTTTTAAATTAAAATATCATTACTTAATATGATATGTATGAAAAAAGCTATTCAATTGTAAAATATCATTGCGTAGTATAACTTGTATTTTCCTAACCATATTGGAGGCTATTGGAGGCTTTTGTATAGATCAAACAGAAATAGTGGATTATTAGTGCTTTCAAAATAATATAATTGGCATGGAAAATTATAGAATTGTCTGATCCGTAGTTTTAATCAAATGTGAATCGGAAAACATGTAGTTAGTTAATGCGTATTCTTTTTTTTTTTTAATCGAAGTTCGGAAGTATTTTCTACTCCCTCTATCTCATATAAAATGTTTTATTTGTATTTTTTTCTGTTTTAAATTAATATTATTTTTTTTAAAATATTAAATAAAAAATTATCATATTAGAATTTAATTTTGTTTTAAAAATCTATTAATTTAAAAATAACATAATTTATATGATATTGATTTTATTTATATAAGTATTTTTTAAAATATTTTATTCACTTGAAAATATAAATTATCAATTAAAATCGTTGAATTAAAAGAAAATTGACTTGCAATTTAAAAATGAAATTTTAAATATTGCATTCGTTTTACATTTATTTAAACGTTAAAAAAAAAAACCTTCGTTTGAAAAAAGTTACAAAAACAATTTTTATAATATAACACAAATGTCAGATAATAATATTTATAAATATTTATAATTATTAGACATATTGAATTTATTTGTTAGTAATTTTTTATATATATATTTTTAAATATTTATAATTATTAATAATTTTATAATAATAATTATATATCAACAACGACTAAATCTTATCAAAATCTAAGATATAAAATAATTTTTGTATATGATTTTTCTTGGATACCAAAAAGTATATTTTTGTTGGAAATAAATTACATTTTAGTCATAATTTATTATAATACCACATTTTATTACTTTTATATTTTATTATTATTATAAATTTTAATTAAAATTACAAATAATAAGACCCGTACGGATGGTCTTCTACTAATTTTTGTCTTAAAATCTCATAAATTGCATGGTGAATAAATCTCATAGATAACAACGTGACATGAGACATTTCTTGAACTAGAAAAACGTAACATGACAAAACCAAATCCAAACGAAATTGATAACCGATTCTTCCCATAATTCATGGATATTTCTAGATGAAACATTGTACTTGAGTGGTTCATATCAATCTTAATCTTCTCGCCCTTAAAGAAACATGTTCTCGAACTCAACGTGTCATCCTTATATAACTTCTTCATTCCAACCTTTTCCTCCCTCACATCACCACTCCCTCAAACCAATCATCATCATCATCATTCAACATCATCATCATTCTCATCAAAAAAAAAACATCATTCAACAACACCACCACCTTAAAACACATTGATTCTATATAGTTTATCTTCTCTTATCAATTGTTCTTCATTTTCAATTCTGTGACCTTTCATTTCTAGTTTTAGCTTCTACTATATTTGGTAAACACACCTTTCAAGCTAATTTTACATTTATAACAAACTAACAAAAAAAGAAATCTTTTTTTGCTTCTTCCTTCATTTTTTAAAGTTTTGGAAGAAGAAAAACCAAAAGGGTCATTGAATCTAATCTGCAAGAAAAAAAATGGCTACAGAGGCGTTTATGTTGAAAGAAAGCGCCTTGTTATCTATAAGAGCATTCAAGAGTCTTTTCATGTTGGTATCAGCAATTGTGATGGTACTTTTTTTGCCATTTAGAGGGAGAAGAAGGGTAGTTGAAAAAGAGGAGAAGAATCAGAATCATGAGTGTTGTCATCATCATCATCACCGGAAAGGCGCGGTGGTTCGTGTTCCGGCGAAGATTGTGCCTTGGAAGAGTGGTGGTGGTGGTGTTGGTGTGGTTGCAATGAAGGTGTTTGATTATTTGGTGAGAAGGGAATTGGCTATAAAAAGAGTTTTGGAGGATGGTGATGAGAAATGTATGAGGGAGTATTGGCTTTTTGGAACCAAAAGGGGTGATACTATTTTCACACAACGTTGGACACCTGTTTCTGTTAAGATTAGGTATGTTTCTAGATTTTGATTCTTCAATATTCATTGTTCTATTCAAGGTTTTGAATTTGCGACACTGATTGCGGTCGACTCTGTCGTTTTGGCTAATATTTTTAGTACTTTGTGCAGGGGACTTGTTATTGTTATGCATGGTCTTAATGAACACAGTGGTAGATATAGTAATTTTGCAAAGAAGCTGAATGCTAATGGCTTCAAAGTTTATGGGATGGATTGGATTGGTAAGTAAGAATCAAATTATAATTTATGAAGTTTTGTTATCTCTGAGGAATGGTAATGGCTATTTTACCTTATGATTCTCAATTAGGGTATATACCATTTTTCATATCCTTGTTCTTGTGCTAACATAAGGAAGATTGTATGAATTTTAGTGCTATACTTTGCATTCTGCATGATCATGTGATTGCATCACATTTAGATTATTTTATAGAGTAGAGGATTCTGCCATTGACTAGTGTTTTTGTAGTTTCTATCGGACTTTTCAAATTTTTTTTGTTATTAGTAGGAATCAAATTTTATGTCATCCTTTGATTACTTATAGAAAACAGTGATTTCTTAATTTTGTTTATTAATTTAGTGACCATCATTCTTCAACATGCATCTATATTTGGATGTTGCAGGAAGATGCCTATTTGTGCGATAAAGTAAACAGGTGAAGCTCATGTATATAAGTGTTCTTTCGCTTCTAAGATTTGAAAGTTTTGTGTGTTCCGTTAGAGGTTTATGTGTCTTTTGATGAAAGCATGTATAGATGCTTTTATTATTGCATTCAAGGAACATCAAATTGACCTAGTTGACCTACCTAGATGCCTCCAAGGTCAGGATTTGGACATGACATTGGTTGTGCATTTTCTTATGTTACTCAAGTGATTGTTTTGAAAATTTAGATGATTACTTTGCTAGTGACTTGTTTTTGCAGATGCAAAAGTTGATTTTGTAAAATTGATTTTAATTAACAGTGAGTAGAATGTAACGTGATTTATGTTTGAATATCATGTAAGTCTGAGCTGATTGTAGTGGTAAAAGCTTGAAATTATAGATTCAAGTTAGAAATGACTCTCGGGGCCAAATTAATTATAAACATCTAAACATGTCAATTAATTCTACGCTATTGGAATCAATTGCACCTTCTCCAATGTTATACTGTGTTTCATCCACTTTTGGTATCAGGTCAAATCTGATTTTGTTTTACTGATGTGATGTGTACTGACTCCTCTTTTAGGTCATGGTGGAAGTGATGGACTGCATGGTTATGTACATTCTCTTGATGATGCAGTTTCTGATCTGGTATGTTGATGAATCTCCAAGAATTTTGTTGAATAATATATAACTAAGGTCCTATTTGGATCGACTTGTTTATAAAAACCTCTAAAGCACATGCATTTTTGATCGAAGACGTGTCTGGTCTTCGACAACGACATAATGCTGACATGTGTTTTTTAAATTCATTATCCAATTTGATGTGTCATTGTTATGTCTGTGTCATTATTCGATGTTTGTGTGTGTGTGTGATTTTTCAATGTCTATATCTGTGTCAAACTATCAGTATGTGCTAGATGGAAATAGCTTGTGACATGTTTATAATCTATTTTTAACTTATTTTCATAAGCTCTTTTGAATAGCTTATGAAAATACCGATATCTTTGTTCTGATAAATACTATTGTAAACTTTTTTATAAACAGAAAGTATTTATAGAGAAGGTTAAAACTGAAAATCCTGGCCTTCCATGTTTCTGCTTTGGACATTCAACAGGTGCAGCAATTACTCTTAAGGTATATAAGATTCTTGAAACTCATTTGTAAGCAAAAAAAAGTTCAAGAACCAATTAAGCACTCAATATTCACTTTTATATGTATATTGTAGGCACTTCTAGATCCAAAGATTGAATCTTGCATAGCTGGTGCTACATTCACATCACCTGCAGTTGGAGTTGAAGCTTCTCATCCAATTTTGGAGGTAAGCATAATCAGCTAGTTCTGTCCGGTTTTTTCTTTAAGGCCTTTGTATGCTGTGTCCTCTTAAGTTTTCAGAGAGGTCCTGTATAGGTTAATTAAGGTTTAAGTGTGACAAATCAAATAAGAGTTTTATTTTGTCATGGTTTAGCCGTGACAGATATTTTATTAGGTTATTTTTAGTCACGGTTTAAACGTATCAAATTTTGAGTCTTGTGAGGTAGTCCGTCTTGCACACTCTCATAGATGGTCCTATCAAATTCATGTATTTTATCGTCGTTCATGTTTATCTTTTGTTCATTATAGGTACTAGCTCCAATACTATCATTTTTGCTGCCAAGATTTCCATGTAATTCTGCATACAAAAAAGGTTTGCCAGTTACTCGAGACCCGGAAGCTCTTATCGCGAAATATTCAGACCCATTAGTATGCACAGGATCGCTTAGAATACGAACTGGATACCAGATTCTTCGAATTACAAGTTACTTGCAACAAAACCTAAAAAAATTGAGAGTTCCATTTCTTGTTCTACACGGCACTTGTGATTCTGTGATTGATCCTACTGCTTCACAAAAACTATATAAAGAAGCTTCATCAAGTGACAAAAGTATGAAATTGTACGAAGGATTTTCACATGATTTACTCTTTGAACCAGAAAGAGAGGAAATTGCTAAAGATCTAATTCAATGGTTGAATAGTAGAGTGTGAAGTTAGTTTTGAAAATATGTTTATCCGACCTGACACCGACGGAACGACCGACAAGTGTGAATTAGTTAGAGAACAAAATGGGGTGGGATTTTCTACCAAAGAAAATGTTGAAGAGCTAGCATTTTTTGTGATAAATTTGATTCGTTGTAAATATGAGACAAAAAAGTTGAAGCAATGTACTTCTGAGACATATATAATATAATATGTATCATTTAGTTAGCCAATATTTCTTGTTATAATCAATTGCTGCATCTATTTTGTTATTTGTTTTTGTCATTGAATGTGGGTGATTGTTAAGTACTTGGTGTTTGTTTGAGTTGATAGTAAATTTAGACAATCATAGGGTATACTTTAATAAGTCAATTCAAAAGGGAAACACCAGTTCAAACATTTTCTCTCATATAGTGCATAAAAAAACCTTTGCAAATTTGCAGATCTATTATAGGAGATCTTACTTACATTTGCATAATGAGGAGAATATTTCAAGCCACCAGTAAATTGGTGAATGAGCAGTTTACAACAACCATTTACATGACTCTAAAATGATCCCTTTTCGCCTTTTTTTCCTTGCTCTGTTTTAGTCCTACAACCTCTTTATGTTTGCCATGCCATGCTTCTCTTTCGTTAACCATGGCATCATCATCCTCTTTCATTGCTCACCAACCTCCAAGATTATTTTAAATTTATTGACAAATTTGATATTGGTTAAATATTGCTTATGATAAAAAACCAAGACGCGAGATAAGGAAAGTAAAATTTTTGATGATGATATTAAATAAATATTGCAAGAGTTATGATTAAAAACCAATACGCTATTGATGTGTATATGTCTGGGGCTAAATATCAATGAGAATGATGATGTACAAGAATACATTAAATATCAATGAAGAGAATGATGTGCAAAAATACTTTTATAATTTGATTTTGATTTTGAGCATGCCACAGATTTATAACCAATTTCCCTGGCAATATTTCAATTGAACAAATACAAGAAAATAAGAGTGAATACAATGAAATATTATTAACCAGTGATACATTGTGACAGTTACAAAGAGCAATCAAATATTTTGCAATTAAGATTAAGAAAAGCTAGTAATTTATTCATAAGGATTTGATGTGATAACAAAACTAAATAAATAAACAAGCAAATATCTGACTTTCTAGAAACTTTTCATTCTCAGTGAAAGCCAAATCCACTATATACAACACCAATCAGTGAAAAGTATTTTGAACTTCAGTTGTGCCAATAAAAATTGATCAGTTCTCGGTACCAAGCAATATGAACTTTTTCCCTTTGGAGTGAGCAGAACTCAGTTTAGTATAAAATGATACCTTGAGTCAACATAGCTTTCAACATCCCAAAGAAAAGAACCAAAAGTAACAGCTTCTAAAACAAGTCTTTTCAAACCACCAATGCTAATTTTGATGATTTCATCATTTGAAGAATTGATTTTCCCCTCTGGTGTTATAGCAATTTCTGGTCTTCCAAACAATGCATCGGTATGATTCTCAATGATGCTGACAGACTCTTTGGATCTAATTGTTGCATATCTTTGTAATGTCTCGATATCAAATGACATCATATAGGAGCGCAATCTAGACACTGTTATCTCTTGACCAAATGCACCCGAACCGATTCCACTGTCAGACCATGCAGGGACTTCAGGGTGGGGCGAAAATTGAGAAGGGACCTCAAAACCTACTATTCTTGTTTCGTCATCCACGGATCGGCTAATAGTGTTTTCTTCTGCTTCGTCGGGTAGAATTTTTATTGTCTTCTCCAGCTGGAACCTTTGGATAACACGCTTAAGAAAGTATCCATACATTACTGATGCTGCATAGACCTGTCCTACTCTGAGTTTGCTGATCTGAGCTACGGATGTCGAATCGCCTAATCGATTACCAAGAAGGAGAGCCAAGTGGCTTTGGATCATTTCATAGGCTTCAGGTGAGTGAAGCTGCTCAAGCTTTTCATCTTCGCTAGGCCATGAATCAACTTGGCCGGAAGGATGTGGCTCTAAAGAGGGTATTAAAGAAATATTGGCATCCATAAATTTCTGGACAACCAATGTGTACAATATCTCTTCTATAGCTTTTCTTCTCTCTTTTGCCTTAACCTCAGCAATTCTCCTGTAAAAATTTGGAACCAGGTAAAATGGTTAGCACCCCTTTTTTCATTTTTAATAAAGCATGCCTTGATGCCTTTTTATAGCTATGAAAAACTTTTCAACAAAAACAGCTAGAAACTACATCCACTATGAATATACTTGTCTTGTGAGAGAATAAAATCAATCATCAATAATAATGTTTTTCTATCAATATCTTGTTTTTGTATGGATTCAAACAAAATACAGTTGAATCAGCAAATACATAAATAAAATATACCAGATCTATTTTACAAGAAAATTTAGCACTTCACAAAGAGTAACTTAAATTCACTGATTCTTTGATGTGCATTTAAGACTAGAAACAGGGGTTTTTCTCTACCAAACGGTTACTTAAAACAATTTGATGAGATTTGTAATGCACATGAAATGCAAACTTTATATCGGAGACAAGTATATTACTTAAAAACAAGGATTGCACAATTTTTGTTTCACAAAGATTACTATGTAATGCACAACAGGGTTGTCAAATACGCCCATGGCAGGATTTCGGTGGCATTTTTTTGGCTCACCACTGTGGCCAAACTTGTGAAGGATGGCGGCGCCACACGCCGTCCTATGTCTGCCATATGTTGTATTTCACACTCTCCGCCATGGTCTGCCGTCCATAACACTGATGTACAAGTCTTAAATAGTTTTTCAGTGAAACCAACTTATGTGAACTTTTCAGTCAATCTATCTACATTGATAGATTATTCATCAGAGGAATTCCACAGCTTTTACTTTGAAAAAGAATACTCATTACATTTCCTTATGTTGTTATATTAGTATGATTATATAAAGCTCCTTAAAAGTAATTTATAACTTAATCGCATTGTCAATCATTAAAAACATTGTGTAGGTTTCCTCTTAGACTTATACTATGTTTTTATCTATAAGGCTTTATTTTCATTTACGTTTCAAATTTACAATCCACTCTATGGTACTGTATAGATTTACAATCCACTCTATGGTACTTTACAATCCACTCTACGGTACTGTATAGGTACTGTATAGAGTGGATTGTAAATAAATAAAAAATAGTAAACATGCTTAAGTTTTACTAATAAGCATGAAAGTAACTTCCCCAAATATATGAACAAATTATGGTGCTAAAAAGTGAAATATCAGATATCATCAAGTATAAATCAAACCTGTACAAAACTAAGTCAGTTCCTGAAGCAGAAGGCTTTTCCTTTTGTTCATCACCATCACGATCGGTTTGGAATATCTCTAGCTGCCGCTCTACTGCCGCAGACATGAGATGTGGGTGACTAACCAACATCTGAGAGAGAAACTGCCCGATCGGAGACTCCAGCTTTAGTGGGGCAATATTAGAACTTGATCCAGATGATGATGCAGCTTTAACTACAAAAGCCCTTCTACTTCCAACAGAGAGTTTTCTCCCGTCGCCTTGCTTGGAGAAAGGCACAGAAGTGTTCAGCTACCAACCACCAAAAACAGTCAGCAAGTATACAAATAAACCCTCAAATTTTGTGTATTAAAACAAGCTAATTCAGTGAAAGCACAACAAACACCACTCGTGTTTGTCAAGCCAAATAACACCAAGCAAATAAAAATGCAATATAGAACTTGTGTCAATAATCAAATGTTCACAGGAAAAACAAAAGTATCTCAAAGTATCAAATGCCACCTTGACATTCACATTACTCACTTAGATTCAAATGCATCTCTGGTTTTACCAATTTGATATCATCAAGGTTTTAAAAAACAGCCCGTTACTGTGAAACAACAAAACAGTATTGGAAGGTGTTGATACCAATACAGTTATTTACCGCTTTAGTGATGAAGAACAAATTGTGATTATTTCACACCATAACGACCACAATCAGTATCGCAATGTACCAACCGAAATTGCTAAAGCGTTTACGCGACCGTTATTGAAAACCTTGGATATCATTATAATCCATGCAAATATCACTGGATGAACGAAACTAAATAACATTTTTACTAATTTCGGGGATTATTTTAGAATATAGTTAATACCCACAATTTTCTCGAGATTAACGATTTGGATAGAAGTATGATTCTGGATAGAACATTATGGTGAAAATTGATCCATGTAGCCGACCCACCTAGTGGATAAGGCTATTGTTGTTGTTGTTGTTGTATAGTTGCTACTCGAATTTACAAGAGGTTGATATACAGTCCTATAATTTAAGGCACCAAATTGAGTATAAACTCATTCATTTTTTCAAAACTTTATCCAAACAGACTCCAATTCAAACCATTAATTTCTACATAAATTCATCAAACTCTCTATTCCCATCAACCACAACAAACACAAAACACAATCGCAGTAACCACAAATCAAAATCTAAAACAAAACAAGCAAACAATTGAATGAGAAAAAAAAATCAAACCGATTCAATACCTTGCATGAAAACGGTAAACCGGAACGGAAAACCGATACGGTGGATCTTCCGACGAACATTGACGGCTTCATCTTCGACGAAGATGCAGGAAGAACAGTCGCCGTAAAGTTTAACGTTGCTCGTGTCGCTTCCATTTTCGACTGTGAAAAAAGCAATGAGCGTTGGATGAACGAAGAAATGCGCTATTTTTGATGAATGGAGATGAAAATTTGAAGCATACCTTGGGGAAATTGCAGAGATAATATATGAAAGATGAAACCCTTGAGAGAGAAAGTGAAGGGGATTTTTAGAGAGAGAAAGTGAACGGTGTCACAGTAAGAGTCAAAGGAATAAATAAAATAAGATAATAAATCCAAAATAATGGTCGGAATTTGTTACAATTTGCTACTCCATCAATAAAATTCTTAAATTTACTGTATCATATTAATTTTTTAAATAAATATGTAATTTAATTGAATATATATTTGTCATTAATTGACAATGTAAAATTAATATAATTTTTTTTCTTTTTAATTAAATTAATGTCATTAAATCATAGTAGTTAGATTTTTATTAATATAATAATTATATGTGTTTGCACTCCACGTTCTTATGCATCACTAGATTAAGATTATATAATTCAGCTTATTACATAAAGTCGTTTTCGACGGCAAAGTTAATTTGCAAGTAAGCAGCAGCCTTCACATAGTTTAAACATGACAGAATTTCTTAATTAAACAAAATATAAAACAAATAAGACTTATCTTAGGAATAGACCATATGAATCTATTTTTTTATAACATTTTATGCAAGATGATTTTTATATAGAAACTATTAATTTTGAAATATTTATTAATAGCATCTCTTATATGTTTTTAGATTTTTGTTTATCTCTAAATGGTTGACTTCTTTTTATATGACATATTCTTCTTATTTAAATTATGTGTAATTTCAATGTGTTTATTCATAGAGTGAGGTATTAGATTTTGTTTAAGAAATGTAATCAATATTTTTCATTATCATCAAAAAAAAAATTTAACATGACACGTGATATTGAATTACATTATTACAAATGCAGTGATATCATAATAAATGTTATTTTTGGAGAACAATACATATTTGCTCTAATTCAGATTTTGTTGAATACATTATGTGCTCATTATTTTAAAGTTCTATGGATTGTATGCAATCAACTTCTAAAGAGTTATTTGCTCCAAGTAAAAAGTTATTAGTTCCAAATTATGAAAATATTTTATATGCACTTGCAATCCACCATTGAGAACTTTTTCAAGCATTTTTAAGTTCTAAAATTTTATTATTTTGAGCAAATGTTATCAAGGAAAATATTTTCATAAGAGACATATATAATGGTGGATGTGAACAGTTTGTTATGGATTGATGTCTTGAAAATATCTTGAATGTTATTCTTTTAAGAATGTATAGTAGAGATTTGTTGTTGTTGTTGTTGTTATATAACATATTGGATCCCCTCGTTTTTTTTTAATCGAGGAAAAACATATTTTCTATTTTAAATAGAAAAATAAAATAAGTAAGTCCCTCGGTTTTCTTCAACCGAGGTGAATAATATATATATATATTTTTAAACATTACATTTTTTACACGGAATATTAAAAAATATTCAGATTCATCATCATTGCTGCAATTTCATATTTTGTTGCATATATCTTTTCAGAGGTTGAACAACCATCTTTGATTAACCTGAAAGCGGGAATGATTTTCTGCACTTGCAATTTATCATGGGGAACTTTTCTAATATTTTTAAGAGAGAGTTGTTCCAAAAATACTACATCAACACTATTATGTGAGATAGATCGCAATGGCTGAAAAAATGTTTTATTCAAGGATAGAAGAACATTGAAGATTTTTCTATCTTGCAATCCATCCCAAAGAATGATATGTACTAGTTTGAGGCGGCAACATATAAGTTAGGATTAGGGTAAAATATGTTTAATGAATGCTTTTATAGTAAAATATGATTATATTATTCCTCGGTTATTAAGGAAATCGAATGGATAGATTATTTAGTTTTCACTTATTAACAAATAAAAATATAAATTGCAATAGTTTGAATACAAAGTGTGTTCCGATATGTGTTTTAAACATAAACTGCAATGCTTTTTTATTTTTATAAAAAAATAAAACATGACGCGCCTTGGCATGATACCTTTGTTTTTTTCTAGCTGAGGTGAAAGCTTCATCATGAAATGTATTATTTATTGTAGTGTAAGTCTTTTAAATGTGTAGTGTTAATTATGTGCATTTGAGTATTTGTAAATTGATCATGCATTATTTATCATTTGATGCATTTTGTTATTTTAACTTTTGATCATTATTTTGTGTTGTTGAAAATTGTTGTTGCATGTCTATTTTACATTTTGTTGCATGTAGCATGTTTATCTTCATATCGGTATCAGATCTTAAGTGTTGTATATTCTTCTTAGCATGTTTAAGCTATTTGTTCTTTTGGAATTACTTTTTGAAGGTTGTTTTTTTGTGGTATAGACTTATAACTCTATTGTCTCTTTTTGATATTGTCAAAGGGGGAGAAGTTGTAATAAGTTTATGATTGGTCTTATGCTTCTATGTTGTGGGTTGTGTGTAATATTTCAGGGGAGCATAAGCCTTTTGCTTTTGGATTATGTCGACTCAATTACAAGTGAAAGTTTGCCAAACATCAAAAGGGGGGAGATTGTAGTTGTATATTCCTAGGGGGAGTTGTATCTGCACATCCTTATCATATGCAGGGGAGAAATCCTGATACTGTTATATTTTGATTGCTTGTCTTATCGCTTTCGTATTTTATCTTTGTTGAGTCTCCCCCATAGATTAATCAGACATAATTCATACATCTTTTAGCATGCATAAACCGTTTGGTTATGTTCGAAGTGTTATTAGTCAAGTGTTTAAATTTGTGGAGTAAAATCCTTACATGCTCTTTTCAAATCACGTGTAAAGAGACGCTTTAAAAACATGAAAAAAATAAATCTTGAAGTATCTGATTCGAATAATTCATTTACACAAAAGATTTGATTCGAATCAAATCAAACAGAAACTTCCAAAAGATTTAGAAAACCATTTGATTAGAATCAGGATTTACTCATGATTCGAATCATGTAAATTTTCTGGTTTTTCAAGAGTTTCTGGAGTAATTGATTTGAATCACACTTTGTACATGATTCGAATCATGCAAATTTTTTGATTTTTCAAAAGTCTCAGGAACAATTGATTTGAAACAAATATTACACATGATATAAATCATGTGGCCTATGATTTGAATCACACGTTGCACTTGATTCTAATCAACTGCAAATGGATCAAAAGTTCTAAATTTCTTTTATTTCATTCACTTGCTCATTTGATTCATCACATGCATTGAACTTGATTCAAATCTAACCAGATTTTTGCAGTTTTTTGTGTGTTTCATCTCAAGCACATATATAAGCATTTATTTAACCTTTTCATGTAAGACATTCATAATCATTGTGATAGTTTTTCATAATTGTTTGTGAATTTCTATGAAAATCAACCACCTCTTTTGAAACTCTTGCATCAAAAACATTTCATCTTCAACCTCATTTCTTTCACATGTTAATCATGAGTGAATGTTAATTGATCGGGGGAGACGTTTTCTTGAAACTCATTGTTCAAATATTTTCAGGTTCTTGCAAGATTGGGGCTGTTATCATTCGTGTTGACAAATTCCAGTGAAAAGAAGAAGGTATTCTCTCCAGAATCACCTTAGTAGTGATAGTTTGGAAGGCTACAGATAAGGTGGCGTTATTTTTACATTTTAAGACAATTCACCTCTCAAAGGATCTGTAGGGTCAAGGGTTTTATTGCTACACACAAAGGCTTGTAGCAGAATTAGTGATATTGGAATATTGGAAGTGTTAATTGAGTGAAGATTGCAGAGAAGGATTTGGCAGTTGACCACATATACAAATCAAGATCTGGAATCAAAGTTTTATTGTCTTCAACATTATTTTGAATAAGTGATTATATGAAATCTTTGTATATTTATCAAGCAAATGGAATTATGCAGGTACTTTAAAAAATGCACGTAGATTCACGCAAGGAAGAAAGAGTTAAAGCACTATAAATCACAGTGTCATCTCTCTATCTATTTTACTATTTAATTTGAATTTTGTTGAACTCGCACGTTTAGGTTTACCTTTTTTCTAATAGCAATTTAATTTGAAAAGCTTAGGTTTTGTTGGATTTGGAAAACCATTAAGGGCTTTAGTGGTGATTAAAATTTGAGAAATATCGTGCTTTTAGAATTCGACTTATTGATAAATTGTGTAACCAAATCTCGTGACTTATTCAATTGATTCAATTACATACGTTGTTTTTTAACATCTAGTCATTATTATATTTGTAAAGTGATTTGGGTTGCTACCTAATAATTTTCCATTGGGTATAATTTCATATTTTTTCTCTACAAACTTTTGTGCACAAACTCTGAAAAACTTACGATTATTCTTATTTGAAGAATCAGGTGACTCCTTTTTAAGTATATTAACCTCACCCCACCCCACCCCCGTTGAGACTGTTTTCTATTGCCATATTCACACCCAACACAATTTAGATGATTCGCTAACGCAAGATGGACTTGTATGCCCAAGTCCAATTCATCAGGAAGAGGGAAAAGCACCTAGAGGGAGATAAACTTTAAAATTCCCATCTCATAAGAACCCGTAGAATCCAAATCTAAGGAAGGCCCATCATCACGAGACATCAGCAACTCGAAAGAACCCATTGTATCCAAATCTAATGAAGGTTCATCATCACGAGAAATCAACATCCAAATCTGAAACTAGGAGCAAAGGAGGCTTGACCTAGCACAATCATCTTACTTCTCAGTTTTGAGACCTAATAAAGCAAAAATTCACATTCAAAAGTTTAAACTGCCTGAAGAATCAAAGAATAAAGATGATTATTTAGGAGGGTCGATCTTTTGTTGTGACTCAGCATCAGATTGAAACGTGAGGCAAGGAAATCATAGATTTTGGGTTAATATAGAATCAAATATGGGAGACAAAGTTTAGAAAACAATCTCAAACTTGGAAATAGTGGTTAAACACAAGAAAGTTAATTATCATAAGAATATCCGGGAGATAGAGCTCTGGAATAA